GGGGTGGGGGACGTGGGGGACTGAATCTGAGGTTTAGGTTCGACAATACAATCAAAAATAAAAATGTGCGTGTTGGCTTCTGGACATAACTGCAGGATCCACAAGAAAATTGTTTTGACAATTGATGATAAAATCTCTCCGTTTATTTTATAAGAATTGTCGCAAAAAAAAAGATGTTTACCATTGCTGAAAGTTATGGACCAAAACATATGTACCAAAATACAATAGATATATTCATAAACAATATTTTATACGCACACATACATGAAATAAATGTAAAGAAAATGAAGTGAAATGCTATTCCAATGTCTTTCCGGTCCCTTTAAGTGGATTCCGAGAGCCGCAGCGGCCCTGTGCGTCCTTTGGGATGCGAACTTCGGCCAAGCAGGATTGTGATTCAATTTTTATGCAAAGAGCCGTGTTCTGTTTTTCCCCCAGTCATGCAGGACTGGCGTCAGCCAGGGTTCGACCATCGCCAAACAAAACTGTATCAATTCAGTCTGGTATTCGAGTTTCAAGTGCACCAATTGGTAGTTCACAGTTGTTCGAGGTTTAGAAGCACTTGCGGTGGACGATGCCGGGGCCGGACTCGTCGTACTCCTGCTTGGAGATCCACATGGTCTGGAAGGTGGACAGGGAGGCCAGGATGGAACCACCGATCCATACGGAGTACTTTCTTTCAGGGGGCGCGATGATCTTGATCTTGATGGTGGAAGGAGCGAGACCAGTTACTTCCTTCTGCATCCTGTCGGCGATACCGGGGTACATAGTGGTACCGCCGGAAAGGACAGTGTTGGCGTACAAGTCCTTGCGGATGTCGACGTCGCACTTCATGATGGAGTTGTAGACGGTCTCGTGGATACCGCAAGATTCCATGCCCACGAAAGAGGGCTGGAACATGGCCTCTGGGCAACGGAACCTCTCGTTACCGATGGTGATGACCTGGCCGTCGGGAAGCTCGTAGGACTTCTCGAGGGAGGTGGAGGCGGCGGCGGTGGCCATTTCCTGCTCGAA